AAATCAGGTCCACCTTTAATATTCTTTTCTGGAATGCAAGGCATTTTTCAAAGTCTGAAAAAGACTTGTGAAATATGTAGAAAGTTGTACTTGCTCCAGTTGGGAATATTTAAGGAGAACAAAAAGTCAATAATAAATTACAAAACATTAAATTCAGGAAAAAAAGAGAAGCTACAATTCACTAATGTTCCTGAAAATATCAGAAAATGAGGAGAGAACTAGGGAGCTCTTCTTTAGAGAAGAATTCTAGTGAATCAATATAAAAAGGAATGACAGGACTAGAAAATCATGGTTTTATATCAATTTACAATTTTAGTAATGCTATCTGGCAAGAATCATCAATGGATTTTGAAATCATTGGTAGAAAGTCTGTTGAGAATTTCTCTGTTAGGAATTATGGCATTCTAAACAGAAAATATGCATTTGTAAGGATTAGCTTTTTGCTACACTAAAACTAGGGGGAAAATCTGTGATTTGGACAAAAGAGTATATAATGTAGTTTGAATTAATTCAACTTAATTTTTTAAATGGTAATCTCTATTGCCCATGCTGCCCTCAATCAAAATCCTGGATTGTGCCTCAAACTCTAGAGGAATTGAACCTCTAAGTGTGTTCTGACTTAAATTTGAAAAAAAATATTCCTCTCAGAAAAGATCTTAGGATTTCAAAGATAAAAGTCAAGAGTGTTGTCAGAATGTTAACAATGTCAAAATCTTAGGGAATCTAGATAGTGGTATTATGTAAGCATGAATATGAACATAGCATGAAGAGTTTTTTGTGGGTAAACTTGATTGGATCATGGAAAGCTTAGCTGGGTGTGTCTGTGAGAGTTTTTATATGATAATAACATTTCTTTACAATAAAATTACTTTTAGGTATCTACTGTCTATGTATCTATGAATGTATGTATTTATGTACATATGTATATATATATGTGTGTGTATGTAGCTATGTATCTATCCATACCTCTAGAGCTAATTGGTCCTGTTTCGCTTAAGATACTTGACTAATAGAGAGAGACAATAAATAATAAAGAAAAAAATTCTCTGTAAAATTTGTGAATGGTAAATATACTGAGAATAAAAATCAAAGTATAAGCATTGGGAAATAATTCAAAATGTCAGGAATGAGCAAAAATTGAATCTTAGAGTGAACATTTTATATAGTAAATAAACTATTTTATTGAATAAAATCTCTGTTACATACTTCTATATTAATGGTAATCTTAAGTTTTTTTAAATACTACTTATTACATTTGTCTCATGAGAGAAAAAATTGAATTGGAATTCAAATATATGCATAAAATAACATTTTATTTTGTTAATCAACTGAGATAATAAATTGCAATAAATGTAATATGGAACTTTCCCAAGATAACGTTGCAAACAGAACACATATAATGAAACTTCATTGAAAGGCTATTAATGTTACTAACAATTTTGTGAACACTTTTTTGTTTTTAATGTTTTTATAAAATTGTTTGGGGGGCAGGTATTAGTCTCTGACTATAATACTATCAACAACATTAAAATAGTAATTTTGAGGTTATATATGTTTATAATATATATTGATACATTTGTAATATATTTTATGTATTTTAGTGCATCATCCTTACAGGTTTTATTTTTTAATTTTATTTACTCTTTTTATTTTTTCTTTTGTTTTTTTTTTTTTCTTTACAGGCACTAGGGATTGAACCCATGGTCTTACACATGCTAGGTAGCTCCACTGCCGAGCTACACCCTAGCCCTGAAGTTATATTTTGACACAATTTTACAATAGGACTTTAAAATCTTTCCTGATATACTGGTACTTCATTTTGTGGAATAAACTTACAAAATACAAAATATTCAGTTAAAATAATGTATGTACCATATTTAATTTGCAAGCCTGATATACAAATTTATGTTCCTTTAAACATTTTATGAATGTGCCCAATCTTCATTATCTTTTCTGGAAGTTTCATTCAATTTAAACATTTCAATTCTAATAGAAAAAAAAGTTATTTTATTGCTAGATAAATTTACATTTCCTGATTTAGTAGCATGAATTTTTGCATGTATTTATTAGACATGAATTTATATTTGCATTTTTATTTTTCCAATCACAACTTTAACTCTAAGAACTTTTCATGCAATGTATTTTATTTGCTCTACATTATTTTAATTTCACAAAAATATATAGTTTTTATTTTGCCATAGTTTTCTCTTCAAACTATTTCCTATAGTTGGAACTGAAGAGAAGATCAAAATTAAGACTTTATACCTATATTTGAACATTTTTATTTTGATTTTGAGTTTCTTATGGATCAAAACTGAATACCTCTCTGAAGACAGATAGCTCCTCAGATACTAGTCCAAAACTACCTTCAAAGGTGAAGCCATGTCTTTTATTTAAGTAATGAATTTATTTATTGATAGGGAGGGTCTCAGTATATACAATTCCTGGCTTTAGACAATGAAAACATTTTTTTTACCTTCCCTCATTCCTTTTCTGGCACTCTTTATGTAGATTCAAGCTTCTGACCTCTATCATTTTGCTTCTGTCTATAGATATTTTAAATTTCCTGCAAGGCAACCCACAGTTCAAAAGAATGTCTGTCAGAAGCATCTCCCTTCTGTTCAAACACAAATGCAAACAGTCAAACTTCCTGAATCAAGATACAAAGGAGATTTCAAGAGTCTTATTTATCCTTGCATCTTTATATTCACTTCATCTGTACTGAGAAATTTTCAAACTCCAGCTGCATCAGAAGCACTTGGTAGACATATTGCTACTCACTTTCTGTTCCCTGGCTCCCAGTTAAGAATTCAGGAAAGGTCATTTGGAACCAATATGTTTTTAGTGTCTGCTGAAGCTTCTGGTCTGAGGACCCCAGTTAAAAACCACTGGTATACCACATTACAAATTTCAGGACTGTGACTCATGAAATCAGGTACACAATCTCTCTTTTTCTATGTCTCCCAATCAAAAAATTTTAAAAAGTACTTTCATAATTTTAAGGTTTCTTTTCTTTGTTTATCATTTTCTCCCTTTTATCCCTTCTACCCCTCTGTTTTTCTTGTCTCTCTCCTCTCTCTTCAGTGTCTCATTTATCAAGTTCACTGTAAATTAATCAGATAAAACATTGACAGTCCTGTAGTAGTTGACCCCTCTTCCTAATATACACTTTAAGGACAAAGAAATTGAGTTTCAAAAAAGCAAAGTGACCCAGGACATCACAGAAAAGTAGAAACAGCAGTCTGGTAGCTCTCCCTGAACTCAAGTCAACAAGCTTTTCAGTATGATATAGAGTCACCTAATATTTCTCTATCTCTCTTTCCCTCCCCCCAGCCTCTTTTTCTACTCCCTGTCTCTCATCTCCACACTCCTTCTCTCATTTCTATCATTACTAAAATGAGTACTTTTTCATTGTCCTGTCTTTCATCATATTTATCACCCATTTCCAATAAGAGATCTATGGAAGTAAAGGGAAAATTTAAAATCATAAAGCAATTTAAAATTTATTTCAGAAATACTGAGAGAATTTTTTTTCACAATTGGTAGTTTGTTCTCTAAATTTACATGTATGAATACATGTATTTTTCACTTTAATATTCTGAAAATTTAAAATTTCTGAGAATTATCAAAAACATGGATAAATACAACATGGTATTCACTCTTTCCACATACTGATAAAATAACGCATGTGTTACCATTTGTTGATATTTTAACATATACCCTGGAGAATTGGAGAGTGATTTTGGAGGAGCTGGACAGTTAGTATTGGAATTGACAGCTTTAACAGATGCTTTTACTCAAATTTAGATCAAAATCAGCAGAGTGATAATTCAGAGATCATCAAGCACCTGGCTTGGATGGTAATTAACAGAAATCAAAAAGAACTAAAAATAGTGTGGGCTTTTCTTAATGTTCCAAGCAATTGTGCAATTCTAAAATGTTATTACTCTCTTCTTGGTAGTTTATAAAATGGGGTTTCTTGCAAACTGGCAGATAAGAGTTGAGAATTTATTTAACTTAATTTGAAGAAAATAAATGTGATATCTCTTAAACATTTGAACTTGTGCTTACAAAGACATTTTATAAGATTTAAACCTATGTATAAACAGAGTTGTTCACAAATAATAGTCATTTTTCAGTTGTTAACATTCCCTTGATGCCTTCTTCATGGAGTAAATCATTTTGAAATAATCCCACTGCTTGAGAAAGACTATATGGGAGTTGAAAAGCCAATCATTCCGTGCTGAATACATATATCAAAATATTTATTGTACCCAATAAGTAAGTACATTTTAAAAGTTAGAAATTCATCTCCTAAATAGGTGGCTCTGAAATGATCCACAATAGTTTTTTTATATATATATAAAATGCTTCGTATTGTTTCTGTAAAGATACATAGTGCATAATTTCTCTTTTGTTTAAGGTTGCACAAGTGTTAAATAATTAAGAGTCAAGTGAAACATCTTAAATTGAATGAACCCTTTGATACCCTCTTCCCTGGCATCTATGACTTCCTACCTCATTAAATGTTTGAAAACAGCATTGGATGAAGCTGCTTTACTCATGGAAACATACTTCTAGTATAGAATGTGCCATATTTATCTTGGCATCTCTAGTTATTCTGAACCCACTGAGGATACAAAATTCCTATTTGTTTTTTATGTTTTAAATTTGTTTTTAATTGAATGACAGGAACCAGGTGTGAAATTGAGAGACTTATGACCCCTTGGAGACTTGCACTAATTCTACCAAAGGGGACATGAATTGAGGCTGAGCAGGTGCAAGTTGAACATACTCCCAGAAAACAAGGGGATGTTTACATTTGCCTCAGGTCAAGGCAAATACTTTATAAACTTTCCCCACACTGATTGAAGGAAAACATTTGTTTTGAACACAGTCTGTTCAAGTACTCTTACCATTATCAGTTCTTGACAAGTTTTTTTTTAATAGAGTACATTTCTAAGGTTTAATCAACTATATTAATATTTATCGATTTTAATATGAAATTATCTCTTGATTTTCCTCTGCTGGTCATGATCATCTTTGTATCTCAGGAAGAAAATTCTCTTCTTTCACTAAATGTACCTGCTTCTCCTGGCTACTATCAAGATGGGGATTTCATTATTGGTGGACTCTTTTCCCTAAGAGTGACTGATGATAACACCAGATTTGGATTTAAAGATAATGTCTATATACAAGAAAATGTTTATATGTAAGTGTATGACTTCTCTTAAGTGCTTAAGAAGATCTAAAAAGCACTCTATAGTTGAGATTTACTTTTCTTTGAATAAAGGTAAAAGACATGGTTTTGAGAATTTTTATTAACCTATATCCATTTGAATTGGTTTGCTTTGCATATTGCCATAAGTAATCTAGTAAACTATTTTTTTTCCCAAAATTTGTCCTGTTTTCCAAAGTAGAATAACTGAATTTAATGCTGGCCATTTTCTTCTGGATTCACCGTACTCACTCAGTCACAACCTGTACAACAAAAAAGTCAAATTTTAAATTTTATGTACTCTCAATCTGATATTTTTAGGCATCAAATTTCTCAACATTTTCAGTATGATATCTCATTTATTTCTTTGATTATTATGTGTATTCTTTGTATGTGGGCATTCTTTGATTTTTATCTCTTCTAGAAAAAAATTCAGTAAGCTCTCTTTCTACCTTTGCCTACTAGGGATCTAACTAAGCATTATCAGCACCTGCTGGCCATGGTTTTTGCAATAGAGAAACTCAACAAGGACCTGAATATATTGTTCAATATGTCTCTGGGATTCCATCTCTTCAATGTTGACTTTATTGAGACGAAGGCAGTGAAGAGTTCCATGTCTTTGCTTTCAGGAAAGAGTCCTCCAATTCCTAATTATGACTGTAGATCTGAGAAGAGAAACAAGTTGGTGGCTGTTGTTGGAGGTGTTTCAACACAAATAACAGCTCAGAGTTCTCAGGTACTCAGTCTCTACAATGTACCCCAGGTAAATGAAAAAGTCTGACTTTTGATATTAAACATAATAATATATGCCAAAAACTCAAAATTATTCTTAGGAAAGGTGTAGGACTTCTTAAAAATGTACACTTTAATTATCTTTTATTCTCTAAAATATATTTATTTACAACAAAAATTGCCTGTGTAAAATAAAATTAGCATTTGAAAACCTTAAAATGTAGAAAAACATGCAGATAAATTAACAATAATAGATAATCTCCCCAGCCAAAGAAACTATCTTTTTAGTAATTGTTGCTGTTAGCACGGAGACTAATTTTTGTATAGAATGAGAAAGCATCATAAATATATTGGGAAGGTGGCACTCAGTTCACATGTTGTCTTTAATGTTTTAAGATGTACTAATGCTATGAACATATTTAACCTATCATCACTTTCCTTCAATTTAAGTTTAAATTGAAATCTAATATTTCTTTCTATAAAAGTTATTTAGCTGATTTATGATCAGGCATTTAGGTTGTCTTCAATTCTCGTCTATTATGAAATGTATTTCAATTCACATTCTTGTTTTTCAAAGTGCATATATATGTGTGTGTATATATATATATGTATATATATATATATATATATATATATATACACACACACGTACATATACATCAGTGATAACTTTCTATAAATGTTTTTCTCATTGCTTTCAGTCAAATTAATTCATGTTTCTATTGGTTAAAAAATTGCTATTTAGAAACATCTTCCAGTTATAGTGCATGAGTATCTCAGTTATTACCCTTTTAATATTGCTAGAGTAATTGTTAAAAACTTTGTCAATGAAGTTTAGGTATTAGTGGGGTTTTTTTCTGTTTTATTTTTACTTCTTATGCTTATCAGTTAATTATATTTCATTTTTGTGTCTTTACAAACTCACCTTTGGTTATGTAATAGTGGGAAGGGAATTTTTTTGTTCTCATTGGTTTTAAAATCTTTCTTTTTACCCTTTCCTTATAAGCAAATGCAATCTTTCAAAATGTATTTAAGAAACTAAGTGGGGTTTTTTTTTGGTCACACAAAATTTAAATACTTATGTTTATAATTAATAATTTAAAAGTTGTTCTGCAATTTATTGAAGGAAAATATTAAACATAAATATATTTCTGTTAGCCACATACATCCATAATCAAGTTCAAAAGACAACAAAAGAGGCTGGGATTGTGGCTCAGTGGTACAGCACTTGCCTAGCATGTGTGAGGCCCTGGGTTTGATCCTCAGCACCACATATAAATGAATAAAATAAAGGTCCATTGACAACTAAAAAAATATTTAAAAAAGAAAACAAAAAATAGCATAATGTTATTCATATATTAAAATTACTTATTTTGTACATCTATTAAAAATTGCTTTACTAATGCTTTCTGCTTTCTTCCTCAAAGTAGATGCTTATCTTTATGCTTTTATTATTTCTTTTTCTCTTCTTTTCTCAGAAATATTTAAAGCATCCATTCACATAGTTACAAGCATTTAATGAGCATCTGTGTTGAACAATCATGATTTTGAACTGATAAATGTGAAGGGTCTGTTAAGCACTCAAGTGTAGATGCCTCTTGAGCCGTTGGATACTTGGATCTAGGTTTTGGGTTAAATTTTTATGGTGATCATGTAAATTTAGGAGATTATTTAGAGAATGTATATTTGTGGAGAAAGGGAAAAGATCTGAGTCTGAGTCATTGAGTCCTCTGTTTATTGACTTTGAGGAGATATGGAAGATTCAGTAAAATAGAATGATAATGTCATATCCTGGAAATTAATTATGGAAATGCAATCCTGGTAACTAAATTAGAAGCATGTTTCAAGAAAAAGCGTATGATCAATTGTGCTACATCAATGGTAGATAAAGTAAATTAAGTTCTGATGATTTATCATTTGATTTAGCAGATTAGGTAATCAGTGACTTCATTTTTCAAAGCTTGAGAATGGTCAACATACTTCATAGAGCGGGTTAAAGACAACACTCGAGACACATAGGAACAGCCGTCTACACAACTCAATTGAAGAACTTTATGAAGAAAGGTAGCCACATGAGAAAAGATAAATAGTACAAATGGATGAAAAGCAATGTTTTATGAAGTGAGGGGAAAATAATTAGACTTTTTTTCATTTTGGGATAATGGGTTATGTATAATAAGGCTAGGAGAGAGGTGTAGGGACTTGTAAAATTTCATACATTTTTTTTTCTCATGAATTGTAAAATGCTTAATGTACTTTTCTTTCTCAATAAATTTGATAATTTATTTATGACTTCAACTTAAAAATCTAGAATGATAGCATTTCTTTATTTCAGTGGCTCAAAAGTGTAGGTGAAGAAAGGTCATGGGAAATTCTGAAGTTGAAAAAATATCTTTGTGGATATATCTAGTAATATCTAGTAAAACTAATAAAAACTTTTGGTGCTTTTTAAAGATATATATTTTTTTAAAAAAAGGGAAAGGTACATATAATGTAAGTAGTGTTAGTAATAATTGACATACAGTTAAGTGGTATTTCTTAGTGAACTTAATTAATCACAAATTCTATTTCATAGTACCTGAAAGAGATGAAATAAATTAAATCATTTGTGAATAAACATCATTAATTTGTATAAACTGTAACTTTGTGCTCTGTATAGATCAGCTATGGTCCATTTGACTACAGCCTCAGGGACAGAGTCCATTTCCAGTCTCTCTACCAATTTCCCATGAACCCTACAGCTCTATATCAGGGATTTATTCAACTAATGATGCACTTTGGTTGGATCTGGGTTGGCCTTGTGGTTCCAGATGACATCAGGGGAGAAATGTTCCTTAGGGACATGACACAAGAAATGATCAACAGTGGACTCTGTGTTGCATTTGCAGAAAGAATTCCAGAGTTTCCTGCCACGGATACTATTAATAACCAAATTTTTGTGGAAAGATTTACATTTTCAAATGTCACTGTAGTTTTTGGAGACACATATTCTCTTCTGAGATTTGTGTATAAAATCTTTTGCAATATTATATTTGGTAATGTCTGGGTCACAACTTCTTATTGGGATATAACTATATCACCATTTGGACAAAAGCTAAGTTATACATATTTTGGTGGAGGATTATCATTTTCAGTACACATGGATGAGATTCCTGGTTTTGAGGGTTTTCTCAAAAATGTTCAGCCTGCAAAATATCCCCAGGACATCTTTATCCAGGATGTGTGGTCTATACTATTTGAATGTCCATATTTGGATCAACATGGAATCAGGGAATTGAGTAAATGTGAACAAAATGGCACCCTGGAAACTCGAGGTCTGCATGTTTGGGATATGAATACATCACCCCAGAGTTACAATGTCTATGGCGCTGTGCATGTCATTGCCAAGGCACTTCATGAAGAACTGTCACTCAGATTGGAAGAAGAATCACTTGACAGTGGTGCAAGTGTGGCTCCTCATCCATGGCAGGTAGCAATAGTCCATTCTAATGTTTTCTTTGGGCGAGGGGCCATAGATTGCCTTTTCTTTTTCTTGATACATGAACTTTGCATTGTTTTACATTAGAGGAAAGATACTTTATTTTGTATATATTTCTTTATTTTTAAAATACTGATAATTAATCCCAACCGTACAAATGGTTTGCATCTTTGGATGGGACAAGAAGTGCATTATCGATATTTGTCTTCAAAATTTGTAATAATTTCAATTCCCCCATTTTTTATTTTTATTAAATAATTTTAGTTTTGTTCTTTTGACTAGTTCATACATTTAATGTATATTAGATGCATAATTTTCATATTGTTTAGCAGATGCACTACAAATGTGAAAGTTTTTTCTCCAACTGCATTTATTTTTTGTAACACACACATTCTCTTGGTGTTATGTATTATTCCCAAATAATCTATACCTCTATTGCTCTCTTTGCATCATCTAATTACTACTCTATAATAGTTACTTTCTATAAATTTTGACTTAAGTGGATAATAATCTGGATATTAATTTTAGAGCCTTTCTTATAAAATTTCAATGTATACTTTAATATAAATCCTCTATGAAATGAAATATCATAAATTAATGTGAAAGAATAAATCAGTTAAAAATAATTGGCAATAAACAGGTCATTTTAAGGCATTCTGTAAACTTTCTAGTTGAAACATCCTGAGAAATTTAAATTGGTATAGAATAGCTTATTGATTTTCAAATGCCAAATGTCTTCTTTGATATAATGAGAGCAACTAAGAACAGAGCAGGGAGGAAGAGCAGGAGGAAAAGATTAACATTAAACAGAGACACGAGGTGGAGGGAAAGGGAGAGAAAAGGGAAATTGCATGGAAATGGAAGGAGACCCTCATTGTTATACAAAATTACATATAAGAGGTTGTGAGGGGAATGGGAAAAAAAAAACAAGGAGAGAAATGAATTACAGTAGATGGGGTAGAGAAAGAAGATGGGAGGGGAGGGGAGGGGGAATAGTAGAGGATAGGAAAGGTAGCAGAATACAACAGTTACTAATATGGCATTATGTAAAAATGTGGATGTGTAACTGATGTGATTCTGCAATCTGTATTTGGGGTAAAAATGGGAGTTCATAACCCACTTGAATCTAATGTATGACATATGATATGTGAAGAGCTTTGTAATGTTTTGAACAACCAATAAAAAAAAAACAAATAACACACACACAAAAAGAGTAATGTTCAGCTTTCCTTTCAAAAATACATAATTTTAAAACAAAAAGTTTCTATGAAAATATCCCTGATACTTGCAATAAGTTACATAAAGTTCAAAGGATGTATTCAGAAAACTATGGCTTATATTCTTAAAGAATTAAAAATCCTATTTTATTGACATTAATATCTTATACTTTAAGTGGTTTATGTTTGTATAAGAATATCAGTGTGTAACTTGAGGAACCATTATTTATGAAGCTTAAAATTCATCATCTCAATTTCCAGTTTTTCTTTTAGAATTAGGAGCAAGTGCTTAAAGAATCCTGGTTTCATGACTGATTAGATGTGTGACAAAAAAATTCAGCATCCTAATTTGTAAAATAGAGATAATATTAGTAACTAACACAAGTTTTATAAAAAAACTGTATGTTAATATATGTAAAGTTTAAAGATGCACAACTGATGAATATTAATCCCTATGTAACTTTTGATAGAACAACTAATGAAAGAATTCTAGGCACTTTGGATTAGATAGAAGGTCGTGGAGGGAAAGGGAGGTATGAAGGTGAAAAGATGGTGGAATGAATCAAACATTATTACCTTATGTGCATATACTACTACACTACTGATGAAGTTCTACATCATGTTCAATCAGAAGAATGAGAAGTTACACTATATTTATGTATGATTTGTCAATATGCACTCTATAGTTATGCATAACTAATTAGAACAATTTTTTTAAACTTTAAAAAAGAAATCTATTGGAATAAATAGCCAAAGAGAAAGGGGGCAGTAGAAATAATTAGGTTTATTCTTATTTTATGCTTTAGATATTCATCCTCTGAAAATCACTTTTCACTTTCAGCTCCATGAATTTCTGCAAAAATGCCAACTTGAAAGAAGTTTTGTTAAGAAGAAAATTGTGAATGAAAATATTTCAACAACCAAGCTTGACATCTTCAATTATCAGTCATTGCTGAATGGAACTAAGGCCCATGTAAAAGTTGGAGAGTTTGTTTTTGAATCAAACAGTGTTCAGCACCTTTCCTTAAATGATAAGCTGATAACATGGGGTGAACACTTCAATGAGGTAAGCATCCTAAGGTGGGACCATGGTGATATTTATCAGAACAAAATGCTCTAGTAGGATTTAGGTAATCACTAAATTCCTAATTCCACTAGGTAGAGATTCTCCTTATTTTCTGCTTTGCTGGAACACAAAGTATGTGGACTTTCTGACCTCAAAATCACTGTGGAAGCTATTTATTTTAAATGAAATAGACCATATTTTCTGTCCTTGTCATGCTCAAATAGATCTGCTCCTACATAGTAAGAATATATCAATATAGCAATTTTTCTACATTACATACATTCTAGAAGATTTATGACATCGGTAACGAAAATGAGGGACTCAGATGAGACATAAAATAATTGTTTGGTCATAAAAATACTCTCCTCAACTGCATTTAATAATTTCTCACTTGATTTAACTATTATATCCATATTTTAGTTCCCATTAAAACTTTTTTAAGTCTCTAAGCATTGTAGCTATATTATACTGAAAAGACTGATGAGGCACAGTAAGGTGAACATTACAGTTGTTAAATATTTTCCAAAAGTTCAGTAGTTCTTGGTTAAGTTGTGTTACACAGAAGTTCTACAGTCTTGTACTATACGATCTTACCAAATATTACTAATCAACTGACTTTCCTTCTTCCCATATCTCTGACACAGACTCCCTCAGCTGTTTGCAGTCAAAGTTGTCCACCTGGATTCAGGAAAACAGCTCTTGAAGGAAAACCATTTTGTTGTTTTGACTGTATTCCCTGTCCAGATGGGGAGATTGCCAATGAAACAAGTAGGCATTTCTGAAAATTATTCTAAATGTGAAATGGCATACAATGAAACGTGGGTCAAGAATAAATAATATAAGAATTTCATACTCATAAACCTAAATACTGAGAGAAAATAACTTACCCTTTCAAAATTTTTTCCCTCCAATTTCTGAGTGGAAATTGGCTAAGTTGGTTCAGGTTAATAGCACCCCCTGGCTATCACCAGAAACAGATGCCTATTCTCTCTAGAAAAACTATCCTTCAATTAGACTCTTAGAATGTTCAGGAATTAATGTGAAATAATTATATACAAAATATAAAATAGCTTTCTATTAAAACTTTAAAATAACCAAAAAATATCAAATTTCACACAATATAACAGTATGAAAAAAAATGAAAAAATGTGTAGATTAAAAAGTCCGTGGATGAGTTATCAGTATATGTGACAGGAAAGAAATGGGATTTGGTGCAGGGAAAGTGCAACTGAATCAATTACCCAAAATGCAGTTTTACAGGCAAATTTAGCAGAGTAGAGTAAGATGGTATGGATTCCAGGAAGACTAAATATAGATGATGAAGAAAAGACAGATTTAAAGGGATAACACCAGAATATTTTCAAAAATTGATGAAATATTAAAATGTATTCAACTTCATCTATATTTTAATATATTAACCAGAATATTAGAAATGTAGAAAAGTTTTTAAAAATATCAACATAAATTATTCTTAAATACAAAATATCCAAAAGAAAAATTTAAAAGGTTTTAAAAGCACCCAGAGATAAAATATATAGCATAAAAAAACAATTGGTTATAGTTTACATTATTCAGATTATCATCACTATGAACAAAATACCTGATAAGAACCATTTACAAGATGAAAATGTTATCGTGTTTCATGGTTTCAGAGATTTGGCCCATGATTGACTATTTCCATTGTTCCAAGCTCAAGTTAAAGTAGAACATAATGAAGGAAGGGTGTAGTGAAGGAAAGTTGCTCAACTCTTGGCAGTCAGAAAGCAAATGACAGAGTGAAGTTAGGGGGACAAGATGTAATCCCTAATGACATGCCCTCAGTAACCTCCCTCCTCCAGCCACATCCTACTTGTCTACAGTTACCACCCAGTATTCCATTTAAATTATTAATATCATAATTGAATTATGTGACCTCTGAACATTCCTGCATTATCTGAGAAAAACATTTTGGGGGGACACCTCACATTTAAGCCATTAACCAGCTTACATTCAAATTCTCAACAGAAACAATAGAAGGCAAAGTTAATAGAATAATATGTTCAATACATTGGTAGAAAATACATATGTGCATAAGTAGGTTAGGAGATTGCAGTTGTCATTGCTTGGACTCCCTAACCCATTATATAGAACCAGGTCTTATAGAGGTAAAAATGGGAATTTCTGTACCAAGATTATATTGAGGATATTTCCATCATATTTTTATTGGTGCATTGCTGTTGTACACAATGATGGGATTTTTGTTACATATTTGTACTTTCACACAATATAACAGTATAATTTAGACAATATCATTCTCCAGTATTTCCCCTTTCCCTTGTCTCTTCTCTCATCCAGTTCCTTTTTCTCTACCCAACTGATCTTCCTTTAATTTTCATGAGACCCTATGTCTTTCTTTCCTGTTTTCTCTCTAGTTTTTACATGTGAGAGACAACAGATGACCCTTAACTTTCTGAATTTGGCTGATTTTAGTTAACTAATGTTCTCGAGTTAATCATTTTCCTGAAAATGACATAATTTCATACTTCTTTTTGCCTGGATAAACTCCATTGTATATGCCACATTTTCTTTATCCACTTATCTATTGACAGACACCTATGCTGGCTACATAGATTGGCTATTTTGAATTGTGCTGCTATAAACATGTGAATGCGTTTATTACTAGAGTGTGAAAACTTAAATTCTTTATTTAAATACTGAGGGATGGTATAGATCGATCATATGCTCGTTCCATTCACAGCCTTTTGAAAAACCTCCACTCTAATTTCCAGAGTGGTTGTACTAATTTTTAATCCCACCTACAGTCTAAAAGTGTTTCTTTTTCTTCACAACTTCTCCAGTATTTACTATTGTTTGTATTCTCGATGGGTACCATTCTGACTGGAGTGAGATGAAATCTCATTGTTGTTTCCCTAATTGCTAATTAAGGTGCACATTTTCAGCCATTTGTATCATTTTTATTCACTTATTTTAGAAATATATGTTTAGTTAACTGCCCATTTATTAATTTGGTTATTAGAGGGGGTTTTGGTGGTTTTTGTTTGTTTGTTTTTGGTGGTTCTTTATATATTCTGGATAGTAATATTCTATCAGAAGAGCAGCTAGCAAGATTTTCTCCCACTTTATAGGTTCTTTCTTCACATTCTTAATTGTTTTATTTGCTGTGCAGAGGCTTTTTAATTTGATGTCATCCTGTCTATTAACCCTTGGCCTTATTTCCTGAGTTTTAGGGTCCTATTGAGAAATTATTGTTTGTGCCTTTATGATACAGTGTTGACCCTATGTTTTCCTTTAGGAGTTGGTCATTGTCTTAGATCTTTGATCCATTCTGAGTTGACTTTTATGCATGGTTGAGAGTTAAGGGTCTAGTTTCATTCTTCTACATATAAATAGCCAGTTTTCCTAGAACCAATTGATGCACATTGTTTCTTCCGATTTATCTCTTTGTCCCCTTTGTCAAGGATCAGATGAGTGTATCTGTGGGTTTATCTTTTTTCTGTTCTGTGCCATTGGTTTATATGCCTGTTTTTATGCCAGTACCATGCAGTTTTTGCCTCTATAGCTTTATAGTATAATTGAGTATAATATTCTGATGCCTCCAATATTGATTTTTTAGTTTAGAATTGCTTTGGCTATTTCATGTACGTGGACAGAGCCAATGCTAACTTATCCCAAGAACCAATGCTAACTAATCCCAATTGTTATCTTAACATTGTGTTTTTTAACTCCCAACCTCAGGTCCATAGTAAGCTCAGACTTTATGCATATTCTTCTTTCCCCATGTCATATAAAAACTCCCTTTGGGGGCTGGGTTCATTGCTCAGTGGTAGAGCACTTGCCTCACACACATGAGGTTCAATCCCAAGAACCACATAAAATAAACAAATAAAAATAAAGATATTGTGTCCATCTACAACTAAAAAAGAAAAATAAAAAAACAACTCCCTCAGACTTAGTCACATTACAATGGTTACTTGCCTGGACAATACCAGGCATACAATTGACCCTACAGTGATTCCATGTCTTTTCTCCATATTTCTTTTTGTATTTTTTTTTCTAGAAACATTAACATTTGTGTTTATGCTGGATGTATGTCTCCTTTTTGTTTTAATATTTTATTTATTTTTATGGTAATTTTTGCCAATTTTTGTTGCATACTTGGAGCAAAAGTGATGTTATATTGACTGAATTTTTTTATTATACAATGTTCTTTACTTTTATTTCTAAACTTGTTGCAGCATTAAATCTTAAATGTGAATCTTACTTAATATGTTTTTTTTATTTCTAAAAATGAAAATGGCCTTAGAAAATTGGATAAGTGTCTCATTTGAAACATTTTCAAAACTATCATTTTAAAAATTTTCTATTGAGACTTGTTTCAGCAACATAAATTGATTTACTCAGAGTTATAGATGCAAGAAGAACAAATTGAGGTTTCAGCAGGGCTGTTTCCTGTGGAACCTGTGGTGGAAATCCCTTTCTTACTTCTTTCTAGCTCCTGCTGGTGGCCACCCATTCTTGGGGGGGGGGGGGGGCTCTTAGAGTTGCATCACTCCACTCTCTACCTCTTTCTTCACATAGTGTCCTTCTTGTGTGTCTGTCTTCACAGGGTAATTTCTTTTTTAATAAAAAAGTCATAAATTAAAAAGAATAGCAGATATACTGATTTGGGCCCACTACAGACATTTCATTTTAACTTGAATACATTTCCATTGACTCTATTTCCAAGAAGGTCACCTTCATAGGTATCAGGTTTTAGGGTTTCGACATATCTCTTAGGGGATTCAATTAAAACCACATCAAACATTTACTTATTTATTAACAATTACTTACCATCATTTCCTACATATAGTAGCTGTCTTAAATGATGGGTACATAGTAGCTATTCAAACACGTTCAGACTGACTCTGTGGTAATGATATTGAGAGTAGTGTTAAAAGAAAGATTGAAAAGTTGTGTTTATTTTTATAGAAGCAGCATTGGAAATGAATGAATGGGAGAATTCATTGCTACAAAAGTGAATATAAGAGTGGAAGTTCAGCTCTGCAATTTCACTAAGCCAAGATTTATAAAAATGTTTTGGTTTGGAGATAGATATAGGTATAGATATAGATCTGAATTTAGATATTTTGGGGTAAAAATATGGAAACTCAAAGTTCTTTCCCATTTAAGTCACTAGATAAGAAAATTATACTTTCCATGTAAAGATCCCTCTGACCTTTACTTCTCTAAGGGAATCTGTTTCTATTTATTTGTTTTTTCTTCTCAAAAACTACAATGGCTAGATTCTAATGTTAAAGGAATATATAAGAAAGCAAGTGAGAAAAGAATGAGTGGAACTGATAGCTAATAATAGTATGTTTTGATAATGATCACAAAAAAAAAAAAAACGTGTTCCTAAAAGCCACAAATTTGTTACCACTCTTTTGGAAGAAACTCAACATCATAAAACAATTCAATAAGCTTTTCACTATTTTCAGTAAATTTTTGTGGCATATAAAGCCAAAATTAACATGTAGTTTTTTTTTCTAATTCAAAAGGGTTATATCCAATTATCCTCCAAAGTGAATGAAATAAAACCTTAATGGATAGAATATTCACTACATTTGTTTCAAAATTTCTTCAAGGCATATGCCCCTACATATTTTTTTTTCATTTAAAGAAATTGTATACAGATAATTACTAACTTTTTCCCTGAAATAAAAGAAAACTTGAATGATAAAACATTTCCAAATAAATCCACATGGAAAACTAAGTGTCAAACTTTTCCATTTTAATTGAATTCTAGTCAAAATTTCAGTGAATTTTTTGAGAAGCTAAACAAAATAAATATATTTTATCATCACAAAATCACGCTTAATATTTCATCTATTCAGCATTGTTCTTTAGTAAGTAGTCAAATAATAATATATACCTTGTAAACTGGTTATGAAAATTAAATTATAACAAAAAATCAAAATTCTTAAAATATAGATAATAAATATTAAAATCTCAATTGTTCTCTCTTACCCTCACATACAAAACATATATTTTTCATATAATGTGTACTTTTCCAACAGGAACATTTTTCCAAATTTTTGTACTCTTTCTCATTGTTCAGGTAATTTCATGGACCCAAATATGTAATAAATTTCTCTCCCATGATGAAAGGTATTTATTCATTCATATATTTTTCAACATTATGCATTATTCCAGTGAATCTATCTGTGCATGTACTAATAAGGTTCTCTCCTCCAAAGTTAATGTTCTAGTAGAGTTCTGTTCAAGAGTATTTATTTTATACATTTTTTTTTGTAAAATGACTGAAGAAACATAACAAATCCATCTGCATCCCTTGCAGATATGGACCAATGTATCAAGTGTCCTGAGGACGAATATCCAAACAGGCAGAAGAATGAGTGTCTCCCCAAAATCATGATGTTTTTGTCCTATGAAGACCCTCTAGGAACTGTTTTGGTCTCCATGGCCCTTGGTCTCTCTGTCCTCACTGCTTTGATTTTAGGACTATTTATCCAATATCGAGACACACCCATCGTCAGAGCAAATAACAGAAACCTCAGTTACCTCCTCCTTGTTGCCTTAATGCTCTGCTTCTTTTGCTCCTTGGTGTTTATTGGTCGGCCCAGCCCAGTCACCTGTATCCTGAGACAAACATTCTTTGGAGTTGTTTTTTCTGTAGCTGTTTCTGCTATTTTGGCAAAGACCTTCATTGTGGTTGTGGCCTTCAAAACTGTCACCCCACGGAGCAAATTTCAAATGTGGATGGTGACCCGATTCTCCAATGCCATAGGAACAAGTTCCTTCAATGAGACAAAGAAATTAATTTTCAGATGACATGATTGATATAAAGTGAACTATAGTATAGAAATAAAGATTCTAAAGTGTGCATGAAGTGAATTCATTTCATTACAACTTGATGATCGCTATTTAATCACATGTCCTTTTCATCATTGTAGTCACCAAGTTTCAATGAAAAAATCTCTTTTTTCAGATAGACAAATGTTTAAATTCCAAACCCCTGATGGCTGACTATGATGTTCAGCATGTCTCCTAAACATTTTTAAGTTGGTTTTTCTCATCTTTAAACAGCAATATCAGATTTAACAAATGATTCATGTCAGAATTCAATAAAATCATTCATGTGAAAACAGAACAGTGCTCAACAATATGCTTTTTGTGTGTGTGTCTTACTTAAGCTGTCACCTTTTTATATAAAAATTAATTTCTAAGTAGTTGTAATTTCTGGTACTAGAAAGCTAGTGATATGTTTCATTATTCTTCTAATAAAAAAAACAGTATGGGATTTGAGTTTAGGACTATCTAAATAGTGTTTGTACTCTTCCATATGCTTAGGTGAACTATTATGGGTCAACATTTAGGCTAGGCCCCCAACTGAAAGAACATTTGAAGGAAAAGATGGTGCTTTATCACTGAAGACCCTTAACACATCAGGAGAGAGACTTGAAGTACTGATGAGGAGAACTATTCTTTAAGGGAAGCATATTATTTCTATTTAGTCAGAACAACTTTCAGACTTTTTCTCTTTCACCTCTTCCTTTATCAATACCTGATATTGAAGTGGCACTCCCTTTCTCCACAGAAAAGCCTTAACTGGGCTTCTCCAGAAGTCTTCACCATGGCTGATTTTAGGACTATCAGAAAAAGAGTCTCTGCAAAAGAGTTCAAGTAGATAAACTTCTTATTTTCATGTCGCCCTGTTTTACTTGGCCACTGGCTGGGAAGATACCAGCACTCCAGTTGCTGGACACCCCCTTACTAGTTTTTCAAAACATATCCAGTATAGTAATTTGTAGAAATTTGCAAACAAGGCCTCTGGCCTTGAGCTGGGCTTCACAGAGATGTCTACATTTTTAAGATAAGTTACCAATTCGGCTCCATAATAACAGCTGTCAGGGGGAGGAAAGAAAGGGGAGAAGAAGCTCTCCCCTTCTCAGGTATTGTCCTTGAAGGGTTAACCTGCCCAAAACAGTAAAAGAGAAAGCTGCTTTTATGTGAACTTATTCACACTGTGAACTTCTGAGCCCCTCCCCTTACATGCTGGGTATAAAACTCTGAAACTCCTTGAACTCGGGGTTCAGGGGATTGATTGATTACAGCAAAAGCTCTGCCCTCTGAACCTGGCTGCAGCCAAATAAAACTGTTTCCTGATATTCAGTTCCTTACCGCGTCTGTCCCTACAACAATACTATTTAAAACTTATTAGATTTTTTTTTAGCTGTTAAGATATTAGGACATAGAAGCAGTTCAAGAGATGAGATTTAATATAATGGCTAAAATTAAAAGGAGGTATAGAATTGTAGAATAATTTTTCCTGGTACATGTAGTGTTTCAGGGTTTTGTTGTTGTTGTTGTTGTTTGTTCGTTTGTTTTCTGGCAAAGAAATGCTTTCTACAAATACTTATCTGATCATTATGGGAAGGGGAACATAGAAATCTCTTCAGACTTGGTTTCTGGAGCTCAGGTTGCAGTGCAGTAAGCTATAGAGGGAAGGGGCACTGCTGAAGATGACAGTAATGAACTAAATAATACAATCTCTGGAAATAACACATGTTCAGAAGTTGCCATATCAGGTAAGTGGATTTTTGAAATAGGAGGTATATATCTTTCAAAGTTCTGTAGATTGAGAGGATTTCTTTGCATATAACATTTAAAAATGAACAACTCTAAGACTAAGGGACAATAAATTGAAAATATTTTGGCCTATCTCAATTGTCATTTATGGTCTTTCATCTTCCTCTAATAAACAGATTTTTAATTAAAATTAGGATCTATTTTGGACTTTAATTACATTGGGCTTAGTTGCTTCCACTTGGCCATAAAATTAGTTAAAAAGGGAATATATGTTATGTTGTGTTGTAATCAAAAGCTCGGTCCCTGTCTCCAATGCCAATCAATGCCAATTTAATAAGGAGGACAGTTTTGAGAAAAAGTAAAAAGCACACATATTGCTTTGCTAGCAAAGGAGAAACACAGGGGACTCATGTCCCAAAGATTGTGACTCTTTTGATCAGGATGGACAGGAGGTTGTAAATGAATTCTTCAAGAGTTACATTCCATATGTGCTAGGATTAACTTGTTATTTTGGGAGATATTCACTTCCCAGAGCCTCAGCAGACATCTCCTTCCTGTAATAGGTGTGTTCAAAGGTAATTAACTAGGGGAAGAAAAGGTATCACTGTCTCTCTAATCTTGTTAGGGAGAGGTAGAGGGGAGAAGAGAGAAAAACAAGAACAACAACAATAAAAATAAGCTTTAGAGCAATGAGGGCTATATTCAGAAGGTGAAGGAACCACACTGTTACAGTATTATGCTTTGATATGAATAAACTGGAGAATGTTCAACTTTTATTAGACTAATAAAACGAGTGTGTTGTAGAAATTGTGGTTGCAAGTGTCCAGAGCTGTATTATTTATTTACTCATGAGAACTTACCTCATATAGGGAGAGAAGCTTAGTTTAAAAAAAAAAAAACTGATTGGAAGATCAGCACAAGTGTGTCCATGAAATGACACTTTTTTTAAAGAGCAAATCCTTCTACATGGTCCCATTGGAGAGGCAGGCAGTAAAATGAATAAATTCATAGGGGAAAAAAACACTTCAGACACATTTAGAAAAAAAAAATGGAAGCAATTTGACCTTCAAACTGAAGGTAATCCATGTAATTAAGTGAATATTTATCAAATATGTTTTCAACAAATGTTTAATTGTTGAAGTGTGTTGTAATAGGGCCTACTCTGTCAATTCATTGTTAATACAAATCAATTCATGGTGAACCCATCACCCAACAGTTCTTCAAAAAACTATCTAAATTTGTGTTGTGGTTTGGATTGACTCAAGTGTGAGTCAATGCAAGAAGATTCAGAGGAGAAATGATTGGGTTGTGAGAGTCTTAACCCAATCAGTGAATTAATCCCCTGACAGTGATAAACTGAGTGGTAACTAACTGAAGTGGTAGGGTCTGGAGAAGGTGGGAATTGGGGGTTTGGCTTTGGGGTATATATTTTTGTATGGCAAGTGGAGACTTCTCTCTCTGCTCTCTGATCATCATGTGAGCTGTTTCTGTTAGGTCCTTGGGCCAAAGTAACTCAATTTTGGAAATAAGAACTTGCCCAAACAGGCATGACCTTCCTGTTAGGCCCACCCAGAAAGAGTGCCTAACTTTGAAACCACAGCAAAGATGTCAAATAATGATAACAGAACCAGAGGGATTATTTTTTAACTACTCCATTGCATTTGATTATATAGTTAAAATGTTGTTTTGTTTTTTTTTCCAGCAGGCTGCTTTGCCTTGAAGAAGGGCCATGTGGCAGATAGTTTCTGTCAATAAACCTTTGCTTGAACTCAGAAATGTCTCTCTCAGGGATATTTGTGCCAGCTACCCTAATAGTTTCTCTCTGTCATACTCTTCCACCATGATGTCCTGCCTCATCTTGAGCCCTGAGGAATGGAGCCTGCTGTGTATAGATTGAGACTTCTGAAACCTTGAGCCCATATATAAACCTTTCTTCACCTACAGCTGACTAAAACAACTTGTTGTTATTATCTATTATAAATGAAAGTATCAATCATATCCATCTACTATTTAGAGAATTTTCATTGTATAAAAACTGTTGTTTGACAACATTGCATAAGAAATACCAATATCTCAGAAGTCCCCTGTATATTCTTTCCCACGCACATTGTGCTACCTGTAGTTCTCCAAAGTGAAGATTCATCTTAAATATTGTGTTACTATTTTTCTTGCTCTGTTTTAAAAAGTTTTTCATCCCCAAGTAAAACAATGTGGAGTTTTGCCCATTCTTCAATTGCATATAAGTATATTTTACTGTGAGTATTCTGTGATTTGTTCTATTTCCTACATATCTTAAAGATTTTTATATAGTTATATACAATGTAGTGGTATTTTGTTCTTTTCACTGCGCATATTGTATTTCTCTGTGTAAGAATATATCAGGTACTGAATTATCCCCATGGCAGGTATTTTCAATTGTTTTTCTATTTCAATCAATGTTTCTTCTATTTTCATGTAAACCTACTGATGAATATGTGCACAAATTCTCCAGAAGCACAATTTCTAGACACATTTTGTGTGTCAAAAGATACCTTTTTGTCAGGAGATACTAAATTGATTTCTAAATTATACTTGTAATAACTGAACTTTCATATTATGTGAAAGTTTTCAACAATCTACTTCTCTACTAACACTTGGTTATTGTCAGACTTTCAATTTTGTCAATTAAGATTACAAAATCATTTTTTTTTGTTTTGTTTTACTAACAACAACATGATTATGGATGATATTGCTATTTTTACTTCTCTTTTTCTTTGAAATTTTGCAATTTGATAATGATGTTAATGTGGGGTTTTCTTTTTGTCATGTCTAGGGTTTCCTTGTCCTCCTAAACATGGAAATTAACGTTTCCTAATCAGGAAAACTCCCTGACATAGTTTCTTCAATTTTTTTTTGTTTTAATAGCTTCTCCTATACTTTGACATGCAACAATTGGCGGTATTATTCTATCCTTAATGTCTCTTATAGTCAACTATGTGTTTTTCATTGGAGGAAATAATTATGTGATTATCTCCATAAATGACTTCAGTTCAAGTTCCTTGACATAATTCTAAAACTATTCCTAATTAAAACATCCATAAAATATGATCTGGTCATTCCTAAAATAAGCATCTAACATTATTGGGAAACACTATAAAGATCAATAGCAAGAAGAGAATGCTATTTTTATTACTACTTCACACTGTGTTATAAGTGGAAGCCAATGCAATTTTTGACAAAAGAAAATACATAGAAACAGAACA